GTGAAATAATCACCACAGTAAGTTTAGTAAACATCACCTTCCAGAGCTACAAGTTGTTTTTCTCTTGTGATGAGAACTTTGAACACCTCCTCTCTTAGCCACTTTCAAATATACAGTACAGTACTGTTCACCGTAGTCATTATGCTGTACCTCACATCCCCAGAACTTATTTATCTTATAACTGGAAGTTTGTACCTTTTGACCCCCCTTCATGCATTTCTTCTGCTCCCTCCCAACCCTTCAACTCAAGCAACCACCAATTTGTTTGGTGTTTTAGATCTCACATATAAGTGACTTCATGTAGTATTTGTCTTTCTCTGTCTGACTTATTTCACTTAGCATAATGTCCTCAAGGTATATCCATATTGTCTCAAATAGCAAAATTTTCTTCTTTTTTATGGCTGAGTAATATTCCACTGTGTGTGTGTGTGTGTGTGTGTGTGTGTGTGTGTGTACACACACACATATATATATATGTGTGTGTGTATATGTATATATATATACATACACACACACACACACACACACCCCACATTTTTAAATCTTTTCCCCCATCAGTGGGCACTGAGTTTGCTTCCATATGTTGGCTAGAGTGAATAATGGTGCAACAAACATGGGGCTGCAGATGTCTTTCTGAGAGAGTGATCTTGTTTCCTTTGGATACAGTGGATATAGAATTGCTGGATCATATGGTAGTTCCATTTTTAATTTTTTGAGGAACCTCCATACTGTCTTCCACAATGCTGCACCAATTTACATTCCTGCCAACAGTGCACAAGTAAGCAGTCCCTTTTCTCCACTACCTTGCCAACACTTGTTATTTCTTATCCTTTTGATCCTAGCCATCCGGAGAGGTGTGAGGTGATCTCACTGTGGTATTGATTTGCATTTCCTTGATGATAAATGATATTGAGCATCTTTTCTTGTACCTATTGGCCATCTGGATATCTTCTTTAAAAAAAAAAATGTCTGTTCAGAGGCATCTGGGTGGCTCAGTCGGTTAAGTGTCCAACTCTAGATTTGGGCTCAGGTCATGATCTCAAGGTTCGTGAGTTCAGGCCCTGCATCAGGCTCTGTGCTGACAGTGCAGAGCCTGCTTGGGATTCTCTCACCCTCTCTCCCTGCCCCTCTGCCATGCATGTGTGTGTGCCCTGTCTCTCTCTCAAAATAAATAAACTTTAAAAAAAAGAAAAAGAAAAATGTCTATTCAGTTCCTCTGCCCATTTTTAATTAGGTAGGGTTTTTTTGCTATTGAATTATATGAGTTCTTTATATATTTTGGATACTAACACCTAATCAGATATATGATTTGCAAATATTTTCTCCCACTCTCTATGTTGCCTTTTCATCTTGTTGATGGTTTTCTTTGCTGTGCTGGAGCTTTTTTAGTTTGCTGTAGCTCCATTTGTTTATCTTTGCTTTTGTTGCCTTTGCTTTTGGTGTTAAAGCCCAAAAAAATCCTTGCCAAGACCAATGCCAGGGAGCTTACCCTCTGTGTTATCTTTTAGGAGTTTTATGGTTTTAGGTCTTAAGTTCAAGCCTTTAACCCAGTTTGAGTTAGTTTTTGTGTGTGGTGTAAGGTAGGGATCCAGTTTCATTCTTTTGCATGTGGCAGTCCAGTTTTCCCAGCACCATTTATTGAAGAGACTGTCCCTTCCCCGTTGTGTGTTCTTACCTCCTTTGTCATAAATTATTTGGCCATGGGGTGCCTTGGTGGCTCAGTCGGTTAAGCGTCCGACTTCAGCTCAGGTCATGAGCTCACGGTCTGTGAGTTTGAGCCCCACGTCCGGCTCTGTGCTGACAGCTCGGAGCCTGGAGCCTGCTTCAGATTCTGTGTCTCCCTCTCTCTCTGCCTCTCCCCTGCTCATGCTCTATCTCTCTCTGTCTCAAAAATAAATAAAAACATTAAAAAAATTTTTTTAATAAAGAAATAAATTAATTGGCCATAAGCACATGGGTTTATTTCTGGGCTCACAGAGTTCCTTGTTACACCAATTTGTTCTGTTAGCATCACCCCGGTGAGGATGGAGGCAGGGATGGGCCAGGGCTCTGAGATCTTCCCTCAGCAAGTCCACCTGAAACCCTTCCATCGGCCTTCCCTCCTGGGATGAGGTCTTTTTGTGCTTGGTCTTGAAGGTTTTTCCACTGTGACTGGTGAGGTGAGAACTTAGGAGGTTGGTGCCTGTTGTCCACCGTGTGGGTGTTGGGAAGGGCTCCGGAAAGTGTACTAGAAGCAGAGGACAGCTGTGCCTGGTCCTAGGAGCCAGTTAGACACACTTGGCTGCCCAGCGGCCGAGTGGAACCCGGGCCTCTTTTCCTCCACCTGCTCTGTTCTCCTTTCTCTACTTCTAGGAGCCCCATGGCACCAACCCAGGCCCCTGGCAGAGGCCGTGGCACTGATCTCCTCTTCCCCACTTCAGAATGTAGCCTTTCTGTGCCCCCTGGGGCAGCTGTGGCCCAGTGAGCCCTCTCCAGATGTCAGGGCCCTGGCCACCTTGTACAAGAGGGAGACAGCTGCTTACCGGGCTCAGTGTGGTCAGGGATGTTTCTTCCACTCTGGCCCTGCTTCCTGTCCCCACTGCCCGTGCTCCCTGACCTGAAACTTGCACAGGAGCCAGAACTCCACTCTTGTGGGTTATGTTGCTCAGGTCATAGCAACATAGCAGCATATCAGCTGCTAGTGCAAATTAATCGATAAGATCATTCACCACAGAGGGATGTGTGAAGAACAAATGAGACAGGGCGTAAGACACTCCACTGGGGCACGTGCAGCCGAGGGTTTGGGGTCTGGGGTTGGTAGCTCTGGGATGGACGTCATCCGTGTTCCCGTTTTGGCCTTACCACTCCTAAGCTGGATGATTCAGGGACTGCTGCTTGAGTTTCAGCCCATATATTTTCATCTGTGAATAGAGACAATCCCAGGCCTTCACGGGCGTGCTACCAGCCAGCAGTACTCTTTGAAGCAGAAATGGCCTTGTCAACTGTGACAAACTTCACAAGTGTAACACATAAGTCATGAAGCCATCTTTTTTTTTTTTTAATTAAAAAAAAATTTTTTAACGTTTATTCATTTTTGAGAGATAGAGGGTGAGCGGGGAGGGGCAGAGAGAGAGACAGACAGACAGAATCAGAATCTGAGCTGTCAGCACAGAGCCCGACACTGAGCTTGAACTCACGAACCGTGAGATCATGACCTGAGCCAAAGTCAAGCGCCCAACCGACTGAGCCACCCAGGCACCCCAGTCAGGAAGCCATCTATAAAAGCAGTTTCTAATCACATCTTGGCCTTTTGGCTAAGATCCAGTGTATAAGCAGCTTCTTCTTTTTTTCTTTAAGGGAGGAGAAGTGGGTGTGGGAAACCCAGTCTGGGTAGGATGGTGTGTGGTGCTGGGAAGGTAGGGGATTGCAGGTCACTTGCCGCCCCGGTGCCCCAGAGCCTGCGTGGGAATCACTACAATGGGGGAGAAGGGAGGAAAACAAACAAAACCTCTCTTCCCAGCAATTGCATTTGGGGCTAGGCCCAGTCAGGCCCCAGTTAGGGTGGAGACCAAGGAGCCCCCATGGGTTAACGAGTTCCAGGGGCAACTGGGGATTCAGCTTTGTCAAAAGCATCCATTGAAGCGGGCCAGTGAGTCATCTGTTTGGTGAAATCCCCAAGGTGCCTTGGCCTGGCAGCCGCCCTGGGAGAACGGCAGCGGCTCTGTTTCCACCGTGGTGGCAGCACGCCATTGGCAAGGCTGGAAGCCACCCGGGCTGCGGAGGCCACATGACTCCCAGCCGCCCTGCGCCCTTTGAGAAAATTACGTAAAATTGTAAAACCAGTACTCACTGTAGAAAAGAATTAGGTATAAAAGATAAAATTAAAAATGATCCATAAGCCTATCCCGAGAGATAACTCTCACTGTCTTCTTGCTGTTCTCCTTTGTTCCGTGCGGGTAATGTGAGTCAGGTTAGATAAGGCCAGGCTGAGGGAACGCACAGACCCCATGGGACTCCCCCCAAGGCCAAGGTCCTACTGTAAAGAAGGTCCCTTCTTTACTCCTTTTCATGTTCTGGCTCTAAAGGGCAATTGAGACTGGAAACCTTGAGGTTTCTATCACTAAGTGTGATGCTGGGTTAGATAGTCTTTATCATGATAAGCACATGCCACCTTTTTCTGTTTTTTAAGCTTTTTAGGATTTTAAAAAGTTGTTTATTTTTGAGAGAGAGAGAGCACGAGTGGAGGAGGGTCAGAGAGAGAGGGAGACAGAGGATCCGAAACGGGCTCTCCGCTGTCAGAGCAGAGCCCAATGTGGGGCTCGAACTCACAAACTGTGAGATCATGACCTGAGCGGAAATCAAAAGCCAGACATTTAACCAACTGAGCCACCCAGGCGCCCCTGTTTTGTAAGCTTTTTAAAATCCATTATAACTGGACTTTGACTTTCATCGAATGCTTCTTTAACTCTACTGAATTTCTTCTTTATTTGCCTTGTTACATTTTTTAAAGTACAGGAACCATCGAGCATCCCTGGTTTGACTGGTTTATGTTTTATCATCCATCTGTTTTTAAAATTGTTCAAGAGAGAAAGAAAGAAAAAGTTCATGAAGCCCAGATTTCAGAGCATTAATTCAGAGTGAAGAATTAGGAAGTACTTTTGAAGTAAGACTACTGATCATAAGGCACTTAGGTTTGCTGTTCAACCTCCCAATCATTTGGAATCATCAGTTCTGCCCTTTGCTCTGAAAAGCAGGAGTTTTGTTTTTCTTGAGAAGCGATCTGGCGCTAGGATATGTGTGCTCAGGACCTTTGTCTGGTGACCTAACTCAGCACCAGATGTCGGGACGCCTTGGGAGGCCACTCTCCCATCGTGCTTAGCGAGCCACTAGGGCGTTTGGGGCCCAGGGGTCTGGGTGGCTTCTGGAAGCTGAGAGTGAGCTCATGGCACTGAAGCAGCCATGGTGGTGGTGGTGGTGGTGACTTTTTCTCTCCCCAGAACTGTCTCAACAAACAGCAGCTCCTCACGGCCATCCGCCAGCTGCAGCAGGTGCTGAAGGGCCAGGAGACGCGCTTCGCCGAGGGCATCCGCAACATGAAGAACCGGCTGGCTGCACTGCAGAACTCTGTGAACAGAGTAGGCCCAGACACCCCCCCAGGTGGGTCCCCACATCTGCACCACTAGGGTCACACACAACACTCGGGCCCTTCACCTGTGGGTTCTGTCCCCATCCCCACCTGCCCACACCTCACCCTGTCCCGAAGTGGATTCCGGGCCTTTCCCTACCTCGCCTCCTGCTGGGGGCCCGTTTTTTTTTTTTTCAACGTTTTTTATTTATTTTTGGGACAGAGAGAGACAGAGCATGAACGGGGAAGGGGCAGAGAGAGAGGGAGACACAGAATGGGAAGCAGGCTCCAGGCTCTGAGCCATCAGCCCAGAGCCCGACGCGGGGCTCGAACTCACGGACCGCAAGATCGTGACCTGGCTGAAGTCGGACGCTTAACCGACTGCGCCACCCAGGCGCCCCTGGGGGCCCGTTTTAAAACCCTGGTTGGGGGGTGCCTGCGTGGCTCAGTCAGTTGAGCATCCAACTCTTGGTTTTGGCTCTGGTCATGATCTCAAGCCCCACATCGGGCTCTGCACGGATGGCTCAGAGCCTACTTGGGATTCTGTCTGTCTCTCTCTACCCCTCCCCTGCCCATGCTCTCTCTCTCTCAAAATAAATAAATAAACATTGAAAAAAATAAATAATAAATTTAAAAATAAAATAAGATACTGGTTGGTAGGAGCGTATGGTGAGTGTGTTAAAAAAAGCATCTGCTGGCTCTCCTCTCCCCCATCTGAAGGTCACCCATTTCCCCTTTTCATTTGAGGCTTACTAACGCTCTCGTCTACATAGTATCCTCACAGAATTGTCAAAAGACACCACTCTTAGAGCGTGAGCTGCTTTTCCCTTCCCTGTCCCCACCCGGAAAGACTCCATTTGGTTCCATTTTTTTAAAAAAGTTTTATCGGCTATTTTCTTCCAGCAGTTTTAAGTTTACAGGAAAACTGAATGGGAAGCACAGAGAGCTCCCTCCCTGAACATACACCCTCCCTGAACACACACACCACCTCCCCTCCACAACATCCCACACCAGTGTGGCATGCCTGCTAGTCCCCCAACCAACATTGGCTTCAGTTTCTCAGGCATGACGTTAGTCCTCTGACCTGAGTCCTCCATTAGTGGGAGGGGGTGCTGCTGAGGGCAAGTCCCGTTTGGTGAGGGTTACGGTGGACCCTCCGAGGGTAGGACTCTGACAGACACTGGGCGTTTTCCAGGTTGTCCCAGTAACAGCTCTCACTGTGGGGCCATTGGATGGGTGACTGGATTTCCTCTGGCCTCTCCTCAGGGTGACGGGAGTCAGGGGACCAGTCACCATGTTTGTTCTACGTCATGAGCCTATGGAATATCTGCTGTCATTGACTCATGTCAGACAATTTATCAAGGGCCTCCTTTGTTGTGTGAGACGAAGTTTCCTGTGGAAGGCGTTGGATTCCCTACCTCTTCAGAGATTACAGCAGCAAATCCAGAGTCTCCCCAGCACTGAGTTGCTGCTGTTCTCCTCGGCGCCACCGGTACAGAGTTAGACCTACCTGCCAAACTCCTCACACTCTCCAAGGCACTGTGAGGCCCAGCCTTCAGTGGGGCTCCCCACAGCCAGACTCTGAGAGGCAGGCAATCCTTCCTTTGTGCTACAGATGAGGAAACTGAGGCCAATAGGAGTAAGTTAGCAGTAATAGGTACCAGATGTGATTTTTTTTTTCCTGCTAGCTGCACAACTACACGGCTCCTTTCTGCTTTCATAGGATCACAGCTCCCATGGTCCTTGGGAGTTTCCAAGAAGAACCTGCAAGAGATCATTCATAAGACTGCCCTGCCTATATTAGAGGCTTCTGTCCACTAGAGTAGATAGAGAGGTCTATTGTTAAATTATTGATCTTCTTATTGCCGGATTCCGGGTCTTTCTTCCTTGAACCAGACAAAATTTTTCTTATTAAGTGGCCAATTCGCTCTTTGTGAGATTTTTTTTAAGTTTAAGTGGCCAATTTGCTTTTTATAAGACTTTCTTTTAAGTTTACTTATTTATTTTTGAGAAAGAGAGTGCAGGGGAGGGACAGAGAGAGAGGAAGACAGAATCCCAAGCCAGCTCTGCACGATCAGGACAGAGCCCGACGTGGGGCTCGAACTCACAGAACTGTGAGATCATGACCTGAGCTGAAATGAATTCATAAGGAAGGGAAACAAAAAACAATATAAAAACAAGAGGGGGACAAAAAACAGAAGAAACCCTAAATATGGAGAACAAACAGAGGGTTACTGGAGGGGGTTGTGGGAGAGGCCGGCTGAATGGGAAGGGGGCACTAAGGAATCACTCCCCGAAATCATTGTTGCACTATACTAATTAATCTGACAAATTTAAAAAAAAATAAAATTAATTAAAAAAAAAGATAAGTGCCCCATTTAAATATATATATGCATGTAAAAGAACATGGGCAAACAACCTGATTCAGTAAATTTAGCGAGTGGAAAAATTTTTTCCACTGCAAAAAATGTATTAAGCATTGTTTGTCTGTTAATATTTATGATTACAAAACCAGGGCACAAAAAATGGATAGTTCAGGCAGAACTAGAATAGTTCTCTCAGGGGGAGTGTTTGTAATCACTGAAGGTCGTTTGGGAAGGAAGAGTTAATGAAGACTCACTTGTTAACAACCAATAAAGCTGGATATGTATTGTATATATACACCTGATAAAAGTCTGGAAGGAAGTTCTTAGTTTGTTTTTTTTTTTTTACATAAACCCTCATTCATTCATTCGACCATCAACCAAATCAGCCAGCGCCAGTCACCAGTGCTGGGTGGCTACTGTATCAGAGCAATCCTTTTTCTGAAGGTCTCTGGAGGAAAGGACCATACAGTGACCGGTGCTCTGCCCTGACTGCAACATACCTCCCTGGGCACCATCTGGTGCCTCAGCCCTGTTTTTTTTTCAGTCTCCTGAGGCTTGTTCACGTGTCTTCCTACTTCCCCAGCTCTCTTCGTTCTCTCCCTTTTTCTGATGGCTCAGCGCCCTTCTCAGGCCCCTGAGCCACTTCCTTTCTTGGTTCCCTACCTTCTCTCCTATTGGTACTCCTTAGCACTGTCTGTAGATCTAAGTATGTCAAATAGCTCCCCTCCCTCCCACCTCCACCCGGGACCTCTGTGTTGGGAAAGGCAGTCTGCAGTCTTTGAGCCCCATTCTATCGGGAATAAGAACAGCCTGGGACTGGACCCCACTCAACATGGAGGCAAAGAGCCCACGGCCTCAGCAGGGCTTACCAACGCCTGGGGGAGACTTCTTCCTGTCTCGGTTCCAAGAGTATTCTTTGTTCTGCTTACATGTGTATGTCAATGGCCCTCAGCTCTCAATCTTCAGACCTGTGGAGTAAGGAATTTCCCCAGCACGAGAGGGGCAGGGACACCAGAATCATGTCAGCTGGCCAAGCTGAGAGAGACCCCGCCAGCCGCTGCTGGACCGTCACTACCGAGGCTGATCTCGCTTGTCTTTCCTGTGAGCCAAGCTGGCTCCATCTGGTGCCTGGACCGTACAGTACCCTTCCTGCAACTCTAATACTTTGCAGTGGGCAGAGGCCAAAGAGTCTCATGGGAATGGTGATAGGTGTTCTGCTCCTCGGGAGTAGGGCATCCAAGTGGCTGAATTAACGGCTCACCAGGATGTTGTACAGACATTTTAGCGAAGTCAGGCCCAAAATGGAGCCTGATCAATGACCTGCCCCCACCCCAAGCATAGGGTGGTTAAGAACAAACCCATACTTGTCGCCAGTGTTCTGCATCTCTGGTTTACAGGTTTTTTTTTTTTTCATTTAATTTTGAGAGAGAGAGAGAGAGAGAGGAGAGAAAGCACAAGCAGGGGAGAGGCAGAGAGAGGGAGACACAGAACTGGAAGGGAGGCCTAGCTCTGAGCTATCAGCACAGAGCCCCACACGGGCTCTAGATCACAAACTGTGAGAGATCATGACCTGAGCCAAGTCGGGTCACAACCAACTGAGCTTACCCAGGTACCTGATCTTCAGTATCTCTTGTAATGATTACCCATGCACCCCAACCTTCAAGTTTTGAGGTGTCAGGAGCCTGACTTCTTTCATGTAGACAACCCACATGGGGTTTAATCATGGAAAGTTCCATCAGCTCCCTGTCTCTAGGTTTATTTCTCAATCTCCTCTGGCCGTCAGATCTCACCCTGACTTCAGTACCCCCGCGGTTCCTCCGGCTCTATTCCTGTCACCTCCGGTCACTTTCACACAGCAGCACAACCACCACCACACCTCTCTGTGTCCCATTTATTGTGCCCAAACTAAAATCCAGCCTCCTGCATGGCTCCCTCCAAGGCTGCAAGAGCGGGCCTGTGCAAGGCACCCTCTCTCCCCACCTCACCTGCTCACTCAGCTCACACCTGTTGTTCCGGGAGCAAGGTCATGTACTTTCTTTATTCGTTTCTCAAACATACTAAATTCTTCCTCTTCCTAGGCCTTCTTTGTATTCAGCATTCCTCTCTTCCTGGAACAGACTCTTCCCCACGCCACCCACCCCTCACCCGCTCATCACATGACTAGACCCCCCCACACACACACACCCTTTCACATCTCTGCATCCCTCGTGACTGCCTCAGAGAGGTCCGCCCCTATTCCTGGGCAAGGCCCATCATATTTATTCTCAGCCCCTTCTTATCCCCAGGCACTAATCGCATTACACTCCCCCATTTCTTTACCTTTGCATTTTCGCTCTTGCTTTGCTCCACTCTTAACAGGTAAGCCCCTAATGCAGGTTGGGTAGTGCCCTAGACTCAGTGGGGAATCCTTAGCACTTGGTGCAATTCCTTGTAGCTAGATGTTCGATGAAAATTGGTTGAATGGATGAACAAAGGCTGCGCCGTGTTTTTGAACTGCGGCTCAGTTAATAAGTATCCCACTCTTGATTTTGGCTCAGGACATGACCTTACTATGGCCACAGATTGGAGACAGAGCCCTGCATTGTGATTCTCTCCCTCTTCTCTCTGTTCTTCCCATTCCACCTTTTCTCTCTCAAAAATAAACATTTTTTTTAAAAGGTGGAGGA